ATGATATATTAGACTGGAAAATATATCTAGTTATGCATAAGTTGAAGCCTTTTTGGTCCAAATCTGAACATTTAAACTGACAGAGCAATTGGATTTGGGCAATAGGTTGACTCAGCCTTCCATCCATCTGAGCTCGGTAAAATGAGGACCCAGACTGTTGGGGGCAATATGCTGACTCTGTAAACCGCTTAGAGAGGGCTGTAAAGCACTGAAAAGTGGTATATAAGTCTAAGTTTATTTATGTTTTGTTTTAAATATGTTGTGCGCCGCCCTGAGTCCCGTCGGGAGAAGGGCGGCATATAAATTAAATTTATTATTATTATTATTATTAAGTGCTATTGCTATTTGGATTTTTGAATTGATCTGAATATTCAAAAAGGTTTCAGCTTGTTTTTGCATGGGCCTTGACTGCAGGGCAGTATTATACATCAGAGATAAGCAACTTTTTACCCTACTGACAGTTTAGTTGGGAAATTATAGCCCACATACATAGATCCACATAATGCCTATCTTTGCATATATGCATCATATTGCCACCGGGAAGAATAAACCTATTTGCATCCTCAGCGTGAAAAGATCTAAGAGGAGGCTAAGCCAACTCAGTTTATTGTCTGCTTACTGTGACTTTTCCCAATGGAGACACAATGTTTTGGGCTGAATCAAGATCCCGGAGGGAGAGATTAAATCCTCTTTTCCTTTCAAATGAGATGCTTTGATCTTAGCACTAATCGGCCATGAGAAGCAGCAATATTCACTGGGATTCCTCATGGGATTAGGACGTTAAACTTATCTACCTAACAATCTTTCTGAAAAAGCCATGGCTTGTTTGCCTTTTCCTTAGCAAAAACCACCTTCTTGCTTGGCTTTTTCCCAACACAGCCAGGGCAGCAAGAACAACCAATTCATTGAGGCTTTTTTGCAAATATACTTATGAAGGCGTGCAGTGTTAGAGCTCTCCTCCATGCCTACCAATATGAAATTAATTAATTCCATATATTATATGGTAGTTCCCAATTAAGAGACAATCAATCAATAATAGTCCCATCAATTAGGGATTGTCATCTTGGTGGGACCAAGAAAAGGGACCTTATTGATGGTGGCCCCTTTTTTATGAAACATCACTCCCACCTGAGGTAGGGATGGTTAGGGTTAGGGTTAGGGTTAACCCTAACCCTAACCCTAACCCTAACCCTGCCCTGTTTTTTGTTTGGTTTTTTTTAGCCAGCCTGAGAACCACAGATGGAGCTGATCAAGTAATTGATTTGTGTTCTTGCTGTCATGGGAGATGGGGTGGGATTTTTTTTAAAATCAGTTTTTATCATATGCTGTTTAAAATTTTGCAATCCACCCACAGTCACCTACATGTGAGCTGGGCTGCTATATAAATTTGTTTAATACATAAATAAATGCCATGGCTTTCCATTTTTAATTAGGGTTTAATTCTGCTGAGAAAAGTCATAGGAAAAAGCCAGTGTTTTTCTGATAACTGGGAAAATGTTTTTTCACTTCTGTTTTTACCTTACCAATTTATTTATTTATTTCTTCCATTTCTACGACTGCCCAATTCAAAATTACTCTGGACAGCTTACAAGACATTTAGAACTAGATATAACATCAACCCTCACATCCTCAAAACAAGATCTGGAACTGTCTGCAATGGCTGTTAGCTATAAAGAACAGGGGAAAAAATGAGGGAAAATTGCTGCCTTCTTCTAAATTGCCATTGGTCTTGCAACAACAACAAAATGTCCAGACTACTCCACTCCACACTACTCAAGGGAAGCAAAATAAATTAGTTGCACACCTCCGGCTGTCTCCTTACGTCATAGTGAGTTTGCTTCACTATAAAATAAGTCCCAAAATTGCAATTGGAATGAGAAGCTGAAAAAGCTGTCAGACCATCATGCTGTTTTTCCCCTTAAAAGACCTTCTACAGTTCAGGGACTGGAGGCAACAAACAGCAAGAGTTTACACCAATGGAGTAATGACCCACTCATTTTGAACTGTACCATCTCAAAAAACAAACTAGCTTCATAATAGCTAAGTACACAGTCACTGAGCTGGAAAAGAAATTCAGCTCAACAGCTGAACAGGGCCATTGTCTGATCACAGAAGAATAAAATCCTATTATGGCACAAACACGAAACTTTCAGACACATGTATAAAGTTGATATATGGCAGGGGTCTTCAAATTTGGCCCTTTTATGACTTGTGGACTTCAACTCCCAGAATTCCTCAGCCAGCGTGCCCGGCTGAGGAATTCTGGGAGTTGAAGTCCACAAGTCATAAAAGGGCCAAGTTTGAAGACCCTGATATATAGGTTCATAGTATTGAAGATAACTTGAGTGGAATCTGTGCTGTATAATACCGATTCATAAAGTATCTTTTGTTCATTCCAGCTTCAATTTTCCAGCCTAGTTCACGGATCTATTTTGCCATAGATTCGGTCCTAGATCCAAATTCTAACAAGTTCCATTTTTAAATGTCAATGTTGGGGCCAGATTTTCACCAAAGGGAGAATAAATAAGATTTGTGGGAACATGCACATCAGATGGGGTTAATTTTCTTCATTTTAGACAGGAGGTGTTAAACAAGTGGAACTAACTCCATTTTAGGCCTGAAAATGCTGGCCATTTCCTTTGAATCTTGCATCCTCTGATTCATCATGCCATATGCATTTTCAGTGGAAACAAGTTACCAAATGCTTCTGTATTAAAAACAAAAACAAATTTCTGTTATTTATATTTTACGCACCCCAAGTAAGTATTTATTTCCATGGGAACATGCCAATAATAAAACACAAAGGCTACAGTCCTGCCTCTAGCCAAAAATGCTAAACAAAATAAACAGAGCCATAGATTCCCCATTAGCAATTTATTTCCAAGCACATTTAGTCCTTGTGACTCAGGGATACTACCAAGTAATCCATCCACTAAAGCTTGACATGTGCAGCTCAGGAATTTAGTGCAATTTTTTCCCATTGACTTTGACCCATTTAGCCATTCATATGCCAAATTTCTCATGCTCAACCATCATGCCCAACTATAGAGCCAACCATCATGCCCAACTATAAAGCCAGCAAATTCGGTCCTGGGCTTAGAATCATAGAATCCAAGAATTGGAAGAGGTCATTAAATCAGGAATTCAGTCTACAGCATCTGAGACAGTTGACCCATAGATGCTTTTTCCCAAAGGCAACCAGACTTTCTTGGTTTTTGTTTTGAAAACATTTTGCTTCTCATCCAAGAAACGTCTTCAATTCTTCTTTTCAGATGAAAACCGAAACGCTTTCAAAGAAAAAGTCTACTTGTCTTTTGGAAAAGCACCTTTGGGACAACCATGGCCTGGATGACTGAGAATCTCCATAGACATCTGAGATAGCTCTCCATCTAGCTTCTACTTCGATCTTAGGGAGAGGGAAGATCCACTTCTCTGCTTCATTGGTTCCACTGCCAAATTTTCCCTTATTATGTCTTAATAAGACATCACTATGACAGTTGGTACATCCAAAGCCAAAAAGGGCATGGGGGATGTAAGAAGAGGCTAGAATCTATTTGTGGTAGCTTGGCTTTTCCCCGTTACAATTCTGGTTTTGTGAACGGTGTTTGTAGCTCTGTAAGTAACTCATAAGGTCGTTCTTTATGGATTTGGTCTTATATTTTATGGATTTAAGCATAATAATAATAATAATAATAATAATAATAATAATAATAATAATAATAATAATAATAATAATAATAATAAAGTTGGAAGGGACCTTGAGGTCATCGAGTCCAACCCCCTGCCCAGGCAGAAACCCTACACCATTTCAGACAAACGGCTGTCCAGTCTCTTCTTAAAAACTTCCAGTGTTGGAGCATTCACCACTTCTGGAGGCAGGTTGTTCCATTGGTTAATTGTTCTAACTGTCAGGAAGTTTCTCCTTAGTTCTAGGTTGCTTCTCTCCTTGATCAGTTTCCATCCGTTGCTTCTTGTCCTGCCTTCAGCCGCTTTGGACAATAGCTTGACTCCCTCTTCTTTGTGGCAGCCCCTGAGATATTGGAAGACTGCTATCATGTTCCCCCTCGTCCTTCTCTTCATTAAACTAGACATACCCAATTCCAGCAACCATTCCTTATATGTTTTAATCATCTTTGTTGCTCTTCTCTGTACTCTTTCTAGAGTACAGAGAAGAGTACAAATCTAGTTGCTAGATTTTATTGCTCTTATTAGAGCCAGTTTGATGTGGTAATTAAGGTACCAGGCTAGAAACAAGATGACCTGAAATTAGTCCCACCTTAGATACACAGCCAGCTGGGTCACCTGGGCCAATCACTTTCGCTTGGCCCTAGGAAGGAGGCAATGACAAACCACTTCTGAGAAAGCTTGCCAAGAAAACTGCAGGCAGTCTCCAAGAACTGGACACCATTGAATGGAAATTAAAACCTGCTGATATTATCTTTGTGAAATGCCCACAGCTGGTTTTATCTGGGACAGGTTCTAAATATGACAAATATATAAACTGCGGCATGTTGTGTAAGCAGATACAGAAACTTCAGCTGCCGGAGGTGGTCCTGGGAGACCTATTCAGACAGGATGATAGATGCCGTGTTCCTTTAGGAATTCCCAGAGCTAATAGAAATCTCAGCTTCAACATCATGAAGATTTGCCAGAAAAGAGCAGCTCCCAGGGCATCTTTATGTCATAATTAGGGCAAGTGACAGAGACCCCCTGGTAATAATAAGGATAATGTACACAGGAACTTTATTATAATGTCATTTGTTCTGCTATGAAAGCACTTTTTGAATTTATACCTTGCAGTAAACCATAATTTGCTCACCCTCTTATGTTAGCTACAATACGTTGGGTTCAGACATTATGCCAAAAGCAACAAAGTCATAATATGGATTGACATTAGATGAACCAGGTTTGCTTGTCCACCCAAGCTAGTTATCAGATCCACTATCTTTAGCTTGGTACCGCGCTGGCATCCTGCCATCAAAAGACGAGAGAGAGGAGGCATGGGGGAGAATCCAATGGCAGCAATAAACCTGTATGCATTCTTATGTGGGAATTTGGAACTGGGGATGACAGCCGAAGAAAAGCAGATCACCGTGGGATCGGTTCGTGCCAAGGCGTCTTCAAGGCCGTTTGCCCTGAGTGTGGAAAGTTACTAGCCAAAACACCTCAGAGTTCCCATAACATCCAGGCAGCATCGCATTGGCTGGGTTTGGACTGGTCATGGGGGGAGGGATGGGACTGAAGGGAATAATTTTTGTCTTTTTGCATAGGAATTCAGATTCCGCCTGACTTGACTTCAACCAGCATCTCTTAGTTAAAAGAGCCTTTCACTTCAATCAAATGGAATCGAGGGTTTTTCTTCCTTAAGGGATCAGACTGGCAGGCCTGACACTAGCATTCTCTATTATGCTAATCATCCTACAAAATATCAATTAGGGATACTTTCAATATTTTGGTTCCTCTCTACTGGATATTGATCTTGGATATTGATCTTGGGACTTTATGAACTTCTCTAAGAAGGACTAGGGGAGACATGATAGCATTTGAGGGGCTGCCACAAAGAAGAGGGGGGGTCAACTTATTTTCTGAAACACCAGAAGGCAAGGCAAGAAACAATGGATGGGAACTAATCAAGGAGAGAAGCAATCTGGAATTAAGGAGAAACTTCCTAACAGTGAGGACAATTAACCAGTGGAACAGCTTTGCCTTCAGAAGTTTGAGTGCTTTGTCACTGGAGGTTTTTAAGAAAAGACTGGACAGTCACCTATCTGAAATAGCACAGGGTCTCCTGCTTGAGCAGGGGTTTGGACTAGATCAGGAGTAGGCAACCGTGGCTCTTTTATGACTCATGGACTTCAACTCCCAGAATTCCTGAGCCAGCCATAAAGACAGACCTCCAAGGTCCCTTCCAGCTCTATTCTGATTGATTGATTGATTGATTGATTGATTGATTGAACTTGTATATTTAGAAAAAAATGGTTTATTCTTTATGCTTGTTCTGGACAAACTTTTCTCCTGTCTGTGAGAAAATGAGAGATAAAGAAAAAAGCCTCAGAGAATGGCTCATTTTTCTTAAGAGAGATTCTGAGCCTATGTATTTTTACTGTTAAGCTAGTGATTTAAATAACTAAGAAGGGTGGAGAAGAGATAATAAGAGACTTTAATTCAATACCATATTATGTGCTTATCCCTTTGGTATGTGGAAGGAATATTTATTTAAAGGGTCAATTCCTAAATACTAGAGCAGAGTACAACATCTGGGCCCATCTTGGCTGCACAAACCAGGAACAAAACATATCCTGACATGCATTTAAGGGGAAAGAGAACATTTTTAATGAGCAATATATTATTTGCTATTTCAGTCACCTTTTATCTTCTTGTGGAAGTCAATATGGAAGAAACTGCTTCGGTGAAGGATTGTGTACCTGATCAGCAAAGCAATGACTGTGTTCAAGGGGATATTTTGTGTTTTGATTCCAGTCCATGAGCAAGATTATGTAACCATAACCCAGCCTTTCTCATCTCCAGATGCTGCCATAGTTCTCCTTCCTACACAATTCAAAGTGTTAATATTAATTTTGAAGACTCTAAATGGCTTCTGCATCCTATATCCAATCAATCCTTCTTTCTGCCAAGTCTATTAATTAGACTCCTTTAAAAATATATGGTAGCAGATGTTTAGAGTTGGTTCTCTAAGATGGTTGAAGTTATGAGATTTACAATTTTATCCATGAGTTGGCAACTCACATTTATAATGGAAAAAAAAAACACCTTACATTCTTCTCCAGAAAAACATAATGGCAGCAACATGTCAGTCAGTCTCTGTGTTAAGATCCCCAATCTCTTGGAGCAAAGAAATTTGAAAGAAGTTATCAAGCCAATTGAGCAAGAATGAAATTACTTATTTTCAGTAAAACAGGGTTCTGAAATACTTGAAGCTTGGGAATGGATTTTTGCAAGGAGAGACTATGAGCACTTAATACAGGTAGTTTTCACTTAACAAATGGTCTCTTAGTGACTGTTTGAAGTTATGACACATCCCCCAAAACGTGCTTATGACCCGGATTCAAAGTTCCAAAGGCTGCCCCTCACATAGTCAAGTTATCATATTTTGGGCAAGTGGCAACCAGTTTACATTTACAACCATTTGCAGCATTCTGCAGTCACATGACCACTATTTATGACATATTTTTTTGCCAGAAACTGGGGTTTACTTCTGGTATCCAGGAAAAAAACACCCATTGCGTACAACAGATTCACTGCGTTCTCTTAATGACCACCACAAAAAAAATGTAAAATCAGTTCGGTCGTGTGATGACCTGCTTAATGATCAGCACCACTTACGACCATAATCCCAGGTTCAATTATGGTTGTATGTCAAGGACTACCTCTACATTCTGCTCAAAGAAAACAAATGTTTGTGAATTTAAATGGGGATGCAACTGAAACAACACTAAAGGGAAATTAAATAAAAAGAAAACAAGCACATTGAGATACCAATCCTTACTCTGCTTGAAGTTACAGAACTGTTTGAAGTTATACAGTCACTTCAGACCCAGTGACTGGAAAAGGGGGCAAGGAAGAGAGAAAAGGGACATGTTGATTGCATGTACTTCACTGCCTTGCACATCACTCTGATATGTCACACCGAAATAGGAAACTGCTGATTCTCTGGACCAGAAGGAATAATATAGTGTTATGTTGCTCTTGAGATGATAGAACAATCTGTCCATCTTATTCCAAAACATTCCAAAGTTTCCATCCAGCCAGGAGGTGACTAAAGGCATGAGTCACCCTAAGAAAAGCCCTCCAATTTAGCATTGGGTACAGTTGTTGCACATTGTGAACCTACACAAACATTCTCTTTGAACAGGAATGTTAAGCCAAGGAGGATCCTCCGAATTTGCACCAACTCTTTATGGGGGAATGCAACCTCATTCAGAGACAAAAGATGGAAAATATCTAGAGTGGGAGGTCCTCAGAACCTACAATCACTTAGTCTTAGCGGGGTTGAGTTGGAGCTTGTTTTTCCCCATCCATGAACTCCAGAGCAGCCCCCAAATCCATGTCCAGAAATGGCAGATTGAAATCCCCCAGATCAGCCATGGACTTAAGAAGCATTCCTCCATCTTCAATTATTTAAAAACAATCCAAGGTCCATCTATCTCTCTTGGGAAGGAACATAAGGTACTTCTGAAAGAATGGCACACAAGTAAGATTCTCATCCCTCCCCATTCACCTGTCTCTCTCTCTCTCTCTCTCTCTCTTTCTCTTTGATAAGAACGTGCTTTGCACAAAACCAAACCATGACATTCTATCAATTCATAAGACGTTTTTATAGCATAAAATGGCATCTACAGTTAAGCTCCAAATTAAGCATGTGAAGTTTAAGTGAAATATGCAGTGAAGATCTACATGAGCCCAGAGCTATTTTTACAGAAGGCTGTTGGTCTTGGCATAATAACACATTCCAGAAGTAGTCCTTTGTTCCTATCAAAGCCAAGACTATGTTTGCCTGCCTTTCAATTCCTCCCTTTCCTTAGTATTTCTGCCCAAATGTGGTTGTTCACATAGTCTTGATTTACAGTCAACAAGGGTTAGATAAAAACAACATAGAAGACAGGCAGGATGACTTTTTGCAAATCATAGTCATTTTTATTAAACGTTGGAGACCCAGAGATGCAGGAGCATCTTAAATTCCACATTTAACTAAACCAAATTTAGGGCACATTTTTTCCAAATGATAAGCATCCACCTTTTCCCCTACCAAACACTCCTATCGGTTCCCCCTCCAGAAAATTCCAAGGTTTCTTGACCAGTGTAGAGGCATCTGGAGAGGGGAAAGAGTGGTGAGATGACCACTGTCAAGGATTTCCAACAACAAAACTCTCTCCAAACTTCAGAACAAGGTGGGCAACTCCTGTTCCAAAGCTGCCCATCTAATTTGTGTCTCTGAAGCACACCGTGGTCACATCCCAACATTCCCTAGCAAAATGGTTCAACAGTGGAAATCCGTTAAGGGTCCATTATGGGTTACCAGAGATAATAACATATCTATTTTAATCTTGATCAAATAAACCAACTTTATATTCCTCCTTTACTTTTAACAATCTTGATGTTTAATACCTTCAAATAATGTCCTGGAATTTGATTTCTTTTCCATTTTTCTTTGTCTTTTCTTTAAAACCTTAATCAGGTTCCTTTGTAAAATCCAATATGGAAATGTTATCCAGATTACCCCTTGCTTAAGATATTCTCCAGTTTCATTTGTATATCCTATGTAATATATTTTTACATATCAGTGTTGTAGTCTATCTTTTTTAAATCCACTTCCAAATCAGTCTCATTATTGTCAAATAGAACTTTTTCCTCTCCCATTTCATCTTTTAAACACAGTTTCCTATAATGACAAACATTCTTAAAATTAACTTGTGTGTCCATTGTTCCTAAATACCCTCCAGTGCTAAATTATTTTGCTCCATTCACTTATAAGATATAAGATTGTCTCCTTTAATTTTTATCTTTAGTACTTTCTGGTTTATGTCCAGGATGTGAGGGGTCTGTAGATATTTTCTTAGCCCTCTTTCTGGTTTGTGGAGTATATAAATCCTCAGTGGAAGGCAGGCTGGTTGAGATTGTTTTTTCTGCAGTCCTAACTATCCGTTGAAATCTGTACCTGACCTGTTTGGTTGCTGCGCAAACCAGACAATTATTGAGGTATACATGACAAATTCAATAATTGCTCTGTAGAACTGTATCAGCAGATCCTTGGACAATCTGAGTTTTCTGAGTTGACGCAGGAAGAACATTCTTTCTTGTGCCTTTTTAATGATGGTTCTAATGTTAGGTGTCCATTTCAAGTCCTTGGAGATAATAGAACCTAAAAACTTGAAGGTCTCTACTGCTGATACTGTGTCGCCTAATATTGTAAGAGGTGGTAGAATAGGAGAGCTTCTCCTAAAATCTACTATCATCTATAGTTTTAAAAGTGTTCAGCTCCAGATTGTTCCAGCTGCACCACAGGGCCAATTTAGAAGACCTAGCCTCAGTTCATTTCTTCTCCAGAAGAAGAACATTTGAAAAGAGCTGAAATATTTATTTTGGGCACAAAGCAATACATTTCAGAGTTCAAGAAATTTCCTAAAGCAGGATACACGTATTTTACTCTCTAATCTTTTGGCCCAGCCTGATTCATCTCCACAAGTTCTCAAGTTACGGATGGAAACAGTTTAAGAATGTAGCTATTCACTTCTGAATGTTCACGGTATGCTTCCAAGTCATGGTATGCCTTGAATTTACAAGGAATCTCATCAGCCACTCCAGAGTTTCTACTTTTTTCTCCATCAACAGGAATCTTTAAAGAAGAGCAGGAAATGAAAAGCATTTTGCAAGTCCTCATCAGTTGGTCCTGGTGCCATTTTTTATTACAAGAAGAAAGCAGCTATTGAAGGAAAGGGTATTTGTTTTTCTGATGTTTGTAATCATCATGAATTCTTGCAAGATCATTTTAACTGTGCTGGATGAAAAGGGGGAAATGAATTGGCAATTGAAATTCTGTTGGAATGCCTATCACATTCTGTTGAAAGAGTATAGCATCATCCATTTTATCTCCAATGTTCGCACGATAGAAACTAAAATGAGGGAGGGAGGCTTGTTTCCTTCACTGAGCTAAGTCACAAACAGTAATCATACAATCAGCTAGTTTATTTATAACGGATCCATGGCTAAATTGAATAAATCCAATTGTGTTGGTTTGCAGGATAGTCACCAAGCAATCATATTTTATTCCAGCATGTTGTGCAAACCTAGACAAAAACAGATTCACATTTTGCACATTATTGCTGCCTTAACTAGGATTAGTTGAATAACCCATAATTGGCTAGATTCACACAACTCTATTGCTAAAACAGATGGTAACAAGGTCCTCGGCTGTTCACATTGTGCCAGTTGGCACAGAACTGTCTTGCTTGCCTCCCTCTGCAGAGAGGTTTATTGCTGTGTCAGCTAAACAAATAAATATGGGGTGATCATGTCCAACTTGCAGGTGTGTTTCCAGGTGCAATTCAAGGTGCCAATTGTCACCTTTAAAGTCCTACATGACTTGGGAGCAGCTTATCTGAGGGATTGTCTCCTTCCAAAAAATTTCTACCCATCCAACTTGACGTCTGTGGAGGTTCTCAGTCATGGTTGCCCCAAAGGTGCTTTTTTTCAACAGGCAACTGGACTGTCTTGTTTTTTTCTTTGAAGACGTTTCGCTTCTCACCCAAGGAGCTTCTTCGGCTCTGAAGAAGCTCCTTGGATGAGAAGCGAAACGTCTTCAGAGAAAAACAAGAAAGTCCAGTTGCCTCGCGGAAAAAAAGCCCCTCGGGGATTACTCCAAACAACTTTCTCCGCCGCCACCTGTCAAGGCCGGCGCCGAATACGACACCGCGGGCTGCGATTGGCTCCGCTCCGTCCTCTGCGCCTCCAATCGGCGGAGGCGGACCGTGGAGGCGCCGGATATAAACGGGCTCCCGGAGGCCGGTGCGCGCTTGGCGAGGCGCATCCAGCCCGATGGGGAAAGCGCGGGGCGACTCTGGGCGGGAGCGCCTGCCCGAGATGCGGCTGGGCTGCCTCTCCGGGTCCCAGGCGCCGAGCACCTTCCTCCTCCTCTTCTTCTTCTTCCTCCTCCTTCTACTCCTCCCGTGGAGCCTGGCCGAGGTTTGCCTTTGCGCGTCGGAGCGGCGCGGCTGGGGAAAGGGGGCTCGCCTGACGCCGCCTCTCGCTTTTGCTCTTTGCAGGTCCGCGGCCGCTGCCGCCTGCCGTGCGAGTGCCCCGCCGAGCCGCCCGCCTGCACGCCCGGCGTGCCGCCGGTGTTGGACGGCTGCTCCTGCTGCCTGACCTGCGCCCGGCAGCGCGGGGAGAACTGCTCCGAAGCGACGCCCTGCGACGAGAGCGCCGGCCTGTTTTGCGACCGCCAGGCGGGAAGGGAGGCCGGCCTCGGCGTTTGTAGGGGTAAATGAATGGCGCTCTCCCGCAGGCCCTTTCGGCCTCTCGGGCGGGATTTTCCTGTCGCTCCTACCCCCGAGAGGCGCTGGCTGTCAGGATGGAGAGGAACTGGGTCACGTCCAGAGATGGGCTTCTCCAAATGACTTTGTCCCAGAGATGCTTTGTCGAGAGGCAACTGGGCTTTCTTTTTCTTTGAAGACGTGTGGCTTCTCATCCAAGCTCATTCAGCTCTGACTGGATGGTGGGGAATGGAAGGATTTGGACTCCTTGCAGACAGCTGGTCATTTGCATTCTTTAAGAGAGTCGTTGAGGCCATTTGGATGCTTGTCTGCGTCCTCGGGGTCACCGGAGTAGTGCAAAAGGGTGTGGAGCGGCCTTTCCTCAGCAGTACCAACAAGGCTCCACACCCAGTTGCACCGCTCAGGTGACCCTGATGACACAGACAAACCTCCAAGTGGCCTCAACGACTCTCTAAAACAGGGGTAGTCAACCTTGGCTCTTTTATGACTCGTGGACTTCAACTCCCAGAATTCCTGAGCCAGCTATGCTGGCTCAGGAATTCTGGGAGTTGAAGTCCACGAGTCATAAAAGAGCCAAGGTTGACTACCCCTGCTCTAAAAGAATGCAAATGACCAGCAAGGAATATAAATCCTCCCATTCCCCATCATCCAGTCAGAGCTGAAGAAGCTTCTTGGATGAGAAGCAAAATGTCTTCAAAAAAACCCCAAGAAAGTCCAGTTGCCTCTTGAAAAAGCACCTTTGGGACAACCATGACCTGGATGACTGAGAATCTCCATAGACATCCTCCAAATGACTTGGGGAGTAAAATAAGAAGGGAGAAATAGAAGGAAGGGGCCCAGTTTGGGCGAAAAGGAGTCTGAGATCCACAAGATTACCCAAGGACGCACTCTGGAGCTTCCCCACTCCTTATGCTTATGCCACCTGTGATCCCCATTCCTTAAAGACAAAATGTGGCCTGTTCTTCCTCACTGTTTCTCAATCTTGGCAGCTTTAAGGTGTTTGGACTCCAACTCCCAGAATTCCCCAGTCAGCATTAAGAATTTTGGGAATTGAAGTCCAGGCATCTGCGAGTTTGCCAAGGTGAGAAACGCTGCCATAGCAACTGCTGCTGCTTGAAAGACTTGTAACTAGGATAGATGGTTCTTAACTCCTGGACTGAACTGAAATTCTCAGTTTCTGTGCCTCCCCATTGTACTTTTTAATATAACAAAAGAGAAAAATTATATGCATTCATGTTAATGGTATACCATGAATTTGAATTAAACCACATTTTGGTTTGGCTATAAATGTGAGTTAATTCAGTAGAATTTAGCCATTTTATCTTGGGTTGTTCTATGTTTTGGTGGATTTCTTGCCTAAACGTTTAGGTGATTCTGTGTTTTTTTTTAAAAATAACCACATAAAGCAGTTTGACAGGGCAGAGTTGCTAAGTAGGGTAAGGTCTGGTTTACCCTTTGGATGGGAGACTGTCAATGAATTCTGGTACAGATTGAAAAATCCAAATAACAATCCAGAAGGCAATGACCCCATGGTACCAAGAAAGTTTTATGGATGTGCATGAAGTCACTAAGAATTGAGTTCAGCTTGAAGCTGAAGCATATTCCTTAAAGATATTTCTACATAACCTGTTAGTTGACTTAGCCCAAAAGCTACTTTTGATTTGACATCATTTATATTTACCCTGAATTTAAATTAAATGTAGTTGGCATGATGGAAACTCTTATCTTTATGAATATAGTGATGTCACTAAGAATCTAGCTTAATTCTAGAGTGTCAGTATAGCATTAGTCTTAAACACCTGCCATATTTTTTTTCTAAAAATGAACAGGTGATAATGGTATTCACATGCTATTTTAGAGTTTGTTATTGCAGAAGAATAGAAAGATCTTCTTCATACTGGTTTTCATCCTTGCTCTTGGTGTAGATATGACCTGAGTATTCCAACAAGCTAGATTCACACAAAGCTTGATTTTTTTTCTCTCTCTTCTGCTTCAGACCTTGAAGGAGACAACTGTGTTTTTGATGGGATTATTTATCGAAGCGGTGAGACCTTCCAGCCCAACTGTAAATACCACTGTACCTGCAGGGATGGACAGATCAGCTGTGTGCCCCTCTGCAATGTTGATTTGTTGCTTCCTGGTCCTGAATGCCCCTTCCCAAGAAAAGTTGAAGTTCCCAAGGAATGCTGTGAACAATGGTCATGTGACCCTAAAAAAGATGACGCTGAAGAGTTTGCAATGGCAGGTGTGTAAAAGGCTTTAGAGTGGTGCTTTTGCTTCTTCGGAAGCATCTACTGTGCTCTTGTGACTCTTCAAGATCAATTACTATTTATTAATGACGGTCACGGAGGAGGCCAATTCTTGGGAATTTATGGCAGATAAGAACATACACTTCTGTCTCGGTGCATTTGATTTTGTTTCCTGTAGTATTGCCCATCTCTTTTTTTTCACCAAAAAAATTAAGAGTAGGAGAGCTTAATTCCTTGCAGGAAGTTGATCTAAAAGAGTAGAATGGGTGTGGAAGCCCTTAGGGGTCCTTCAAAATTTGTTTCTAATTACAGGTAGTCCTCTACTTACAACAGTTCATTTAGTGACCGTTTGAAGTTACAACAGCACTGGAAAAAAGTGACTTATGACCGTTTTTCACATGACCAGTGCAGCATCCCCATAGTCAAGTGATCATAATTCAGACATTTGGCAACTGGCTCATATTTATGACAGTTAAAGTGTCCCGGGGTCATGGAATCCTGTTTTGCGACCTCCTGACAGGCAAAGTCGATGGGGAAGCCAGATTCACTTAAAAACCATTTTACTAATATAACAACTGCAGTGATTCACTTAAGAACTGCGGCAAGAAAGGTTGTAAAATAGGGCAAAACCCGCTTAGCAATAGAAATTTTGGGCTCAGTTGTGGTTGTAAGTCAAGGACTATCTGTATTTTTAAGTTAATTGAAAAGGACATTGTTCCCTATTACTTGCATTTAATGCCCAATCACATTAAGTGTTTTTTTTTCCTTCTGCTAACTCACATTTCTTTGTGCTGGCCCTAAATTATTTTTAGAGTACACTTCTTGGCACATTACTCAAGGATCAAGTAAGGCCTTCAGCCTTACAATGGTTGTGCCTCTCTGGATTGTATTGGAAAAGGAACTATGATGATATGGGAGACTGAAAAAATCTTGCTTATGTTGGCTTCCTTCTCGGTGTGGCAAAACAACCTTAAATCAAACGTTCAATCCTTAAGATGGCCCTAAGGTTAAATATAATGCTTAAAAGCCATGCAGAATTAGTCATCTAAGACCACTATTCATTTTTGGTTCCATGCCACCAGATTCTGCCACTCATAAACTTCAAGTTTAAATCTTATAGCATAAGGTTCCTGTTAAATACAGTGTAATACTGCTAAAAACCTCTAGTAATTGTGGGAAGCCTTAACTTAAAAGCTTTCTTCGCCCCTCCAATGTCCTGTAATAAGGAATTGGAATTAGAGCTAGTTTGGTATAGTGGTTAGGGCACGAGGCTAAAAACTGGGAGACCATGTCACCATAAGCATGAAATCATCTGGATGATTTGGGGCCAGTCCCTCCCTCTCAGCCCTAGAAAAAAGGTAATGGCAAACTACTTCTGAAATCTCCCTAAAAAAAACTACAGGGATTCATTCAGCCAATCACAAGAAGTTAGGATTGACTCAAAGACACTTAAAAAAACCAGGCATTTAATGAAATTGCTTTATGGCTACCAAGTCAGAGAGCATCATGGACCCCTCATTTCAACTCTGAGCTACAAATAGAGGTAGTCCTCAATTTACAACCACAATTGAGTCCAAAAATCTATGTTGCTAATTGAAAAACTTAAGTGAGTTTTGCCCCATTTTACGACTTTTCTCGCCACATTTGTTAAGTGAATCGCTGCAGTTCTTAAGTTAGTAACATAGCTGTTAAGTGACTCTGGTTTCCCCATTACCTTTGCTTGTCAGAAGAGTTGCTAAAGGTGATCACACTGCAATTGTCATAAATGTGAGTCAGTTGTCAAGCATCTGAATATAAATCATGTGACCATGGGGATGCTGCAACGGTTGTTAAGTGTGAAAAATGGTCATAAGTCACTTTTTTCTGTGCCGTTGTACCATTGGTCACTAAATGAACTGTTGTGAGTTGAGGACTACCTGTATTTAACACAGCGCAGTTCACGGCTATTAATTACCTTCACACAACCTGCAGGGCCCTTTTTGTCAGCTGGCTTGTATCAATTCACGGGTTACCTGTATTCTCCTTTATTGGCATAAAACATTGAATAGCATCAAGATGCTCAACCACAAAGGTAATTTATAAGCATGGGAGAGATTGTGTCAGAATATTATATGCTGTCCACTTTCCATTAAACTCTCAAGGAAGGGAGATATTATGTCATGCCCTCGTATGCAATTCATAGGGAGGGAGATTTCACTAATTTTATGCTGTGAATGTCCTGTGGGGTATTTTCAATTACTGTGACCACCAGTGAACTCCTGCCTAAAAATTGCAAAAAAATTGCATAAAAGCTCCACCATACGATTCTCTTCAAGCCTGCACAATCCATGTTTTACAATGTTTACAGCGACAGCAAAACAGCAGGCTGGCGACTGAGTCATCGTGCATCAAAATTGCCACCATTTTGGCAGGCAAAGTTTACAAAGATTTCTTTTTTTCAATCATAATCTCTTCCGAGCAATCTCTTGTTAAACCTTAGAATTCCAGAAAACCCCACTGAGAAAGTCTGATCTTAAGGTTACCGGGTATCTTTTAACAATTACATTGAACAAACAGAAGATATGGACCATGAAAAGTGGTGCCTTGAAGATACTTCAAGTTTTTAATTCTTCAGGTTGTGAGGAGAAACTTGAAAACCAGCACAGTGAATCTGTGGATCCTGGAGGGACAAGCCTTGGGCCATAGCTGAATAATGAATGGGGTCAATCATTGGATTGAAATGTAATTGAGAATTGTTTTAGAGTTATGTTCAACGTAGTCGCTTCTCCCCAAATTTCTCTTTCTGTGTCATGAAAAATTGCAATTTAGTGATCGATTTTGAAGGGACTCTTGAGAACGGTGCTCAAATCTTTGGAAGTCCAGTCATAGCCCTAAAATCTAAAAATATTTATTTTCCTAGCTAAGAAAACAGTGACCAGGAACAGTCTAGCTCAGGGATAGGCAACCTTGGCTCTTTTATGACTCGTGGACTTCAACTCCCAGAATTCCTGAGCTAGCATGGCTCAGCTTGGAAATCTCTCCCTTCCCCTCAGCATGGCTGGCTCAGGAATTCTGGGAGTTGAAGTCCATGAGTTATAAAAGAGCCAAGGTTGCTACCCCCGTTCTAGCTGTTGCATTCTACCGCATAAGGCCTTCCTTAAGACGAAAACGTTGAATAACAATACTGCTATGAATTTTAATTGCTGCTTTTATTTTGTTAGATTCCTGCTTATTTTGCCCTGTATATTTTACATGACGTTTTCATATGTGCTTTTTATTATTTTCTATTTTTTTCTTTAATTGCTGATATTAATTATAAATTGCTGCAAAATTTTGCAAGTAGAAAATGTTATACAGGTAGTCCTCAAATTACAACAGTTCATTTATTGACCATTTGAAGTTACAACGACACTGAAAAATGTGACTTGTTGCTGTTTTTCACACTTGTTGCAGCATCCCCCACGGTCATGCGGTCAAAATTCAGATGCATAGCAATTGACTCATAGTTATGACGGTTGCAGTGTCCCAGGGTCATGGGATCCCCTTTTGCCACCTTCTGACAAGCAAAGTCAGTGGGGAAACCAGATTCACTTAAAAACAGTGTTAGTAACTTAATAATTGCAGTGATTCACTTAATAGCTGTGGCAAAAAGGTCATAAAATGGGGCAAAATTCTCTTCACAACTGTCTGGCTGAGCAATAGAAATTTGGGGCTCCACTGTGGTTGTAATTTGAGGACTATCTGTATATAAAATTAAGTTTAGCCTGTTAGAGAAATGCAGCCTTTCAAACCTCAGTGTCTGTATTAGACTGACTACAAATCTCTCTGGGATGTAGATTTGCGGGCCTCACAGTCAAGGTGATCTTTGCTATCTTACAAAATACATATCTATATTTTTGAAAATCATTTTTTAAAATTAGTTTACTCATAGGAAAATATTTATAGACTTCCTCTTGATCATAAGCTAACCAAGGCAGCATACCAAACAGATATTAAATCAATGTGGTGTACAAAAAAGAAGACAATGAATACCTTGAGAAAATAAAATTAGTTGTCAACCCTTACATCAATGAATCTTCAGAAGAGGAATAACATAACAGCTGGGAACTAAATGTAATGTTTCTATTTCCCTAGTTAGATTTTTCTCTGCAGTAAATTCTTATTTCATAACCTTCATCCGTCTAATGTCTTTTGATGGTGAATTACTGGTAGTTCTCAACTTATGACCATTTGTTCAGCAGCTGTTTGAAGTTGCAACCGCACTGAAAAAATAACTTATGACTGGCCTTCACAATTATAACTGTTGCAGCATCTACATACTCAAAATTTGGGCTCTGGCAACCAGCACATAGTTGTGACAGTTGCAGCATCCTGGAGCCACATGATTACCATTTGCAAACTTCCATGGGAGCTTCTGACAAAATCAATTGAGGGGAAGACTTGATATGCT